GTTCTCGTGGAAACAAATTTTATTTAATCTTTGGTATACAAAGACTCGAAATGTGTGTATTCAAACCGGAATATCTCGGATCATTTAATAATTTTAAAAGCCATAAGTCTGCTATGTGAGGAATAACAGTACATGTCAATGAAATGTTACAGTCTACCTGCACGTAGTCCTGCAATCAAAATATGCAGTTTATCCTTTAGTAAAGTAGTTTACGTTTTCTTTATTTGGTCCAAATACAATTTGCTGATACAACTGAATAGCGAGGTTGTTAGTATACGTGGTGTGTATATTAAATTGTTTAGATTATAAGCTTAGTGTTAAAATATGGTAGACAGGGTTTGTGATTACAATCTATTACAATAGATTACATTATACATGTTAATAGGCCTGAATAAAATTCTCTTATAACAAAATAAACCGAAATGGGGGGTAACGTCCTACTATTCTGAAATGAAATGGGGTTTAATGTCCTACTGTTCTGCTCCGATTGTGCTAATTAAGACGGGCACCTCCATACAGTGTGCTATGAGGGAAATTTTGCCCGGACAGCGGCGCCACGGCCTACTCTTATATCGAATTCTAACTGCCAAGGGGTCATTTACGTGTGCTCCAATGTGTACACGGGACCTCGGGTTTTCGAACCATCTAATCGACTATACGTTGTCCCCTGTTAGGCCAACTGACATGCATCACTGACAAGGGGCAACCACGTCAGAAAATCTCGATGAACTTAACGTCCTACTATTCTGTACCAACCGGAATATTGAAGACGGACATACTTCTGGGTGCATATGATGTAGGTCGGACAGCGACGTATCCGCCAACTTTTCATTGAATTACTAGGCCTACTATCAAGGGTTGTTTACACGTGACCTTGGTTTTTCCCGCGATCCGATCGACAATAAACTGTTCCTTGCCAGCCCCCGCCCCCGGTCAGATCTAAATATTAAGGTCAACTGCACATTTCGTCAATGTCGAGAAAGCACGTGATGTTGACGAGATTGTGGGTTAGGGTTAGATCTAGGGTTGGGGTTAGGGTGACCTTTGACCAAATCGGTAGTTGGCCTTCATATTTAGACCTAACCCTAAACAAATCAAGCAAATTATACAAGGTCAATTTATACCAGAAATTGCTGACATGTATTTTAAAGTTGATTCACGTCGACCGTGATGCTAGATGCTAGAACAATATGCGAATTATGGCCTTAATATTTAGACCTTCCTCCCGTTGTGTGTTAGTGTTTGGGGTTATAGTGTGCCTGGTTGATATGCATAGCACCGGAGTGTATATTAGGTTTATGTAACCCTACAGTAAAAAACATGGCCATTTGACTTTTACAGTTTCTATTGATTTCAATCCCAGAATATTGGCCGTGAATCAGGTAACACCCACTTAAAGAGATTATCTAGCCTACACCTGGTTTTTCTTTGAAGTTCTAAATTACGAATTTAGCCACTAATCTGAGTCGCGATTTGTTCATGTCATGAAAATGTGATTGCCTTTCTGTCAAGTTTCCTCTTTAAATGATGCACTTTACACCTTTTGCATCGTATAAATTAAACACATCTTTACAAATTTAACAATCTTCAATTCGAAGTTCAGTAACCCTTTTCCATACGCAATTGTGCGCCATATGTACTGCACCATGTCATTGAGTTAAGTGTTTACCGATGCATTCTGTGAGAACTAAATTTGCCTATTGCACATCTTCATGTTCTCATCAAATGTGATATAAATTATCAGTTAGACATTTATTCACATGACAAACCCATAAACAACCCTCTATACTACAGGGTGGTTGTGATTTTCAACGGGTTGAAACACGATTGCCTTATAAAAATTTAATTTAAAAATGCATAATCGACACTTTGTTTATAATTGGATATTCGAGGCCAAATTTATCGAAATACAATGTAATATATTACATTTTCATTATCTAGTTTTGAACTATCATAGTGAGAATTGTTAGCTCTTTATCTAAATCTTACATAATGTATCTTTAACTATAACATGATGTAGTTGATACGCACAGCACCGTGTAAGTTAAAAAAACGTTTTAGAAATTTAAAAGTTTATGAAATGCTCGTAAATAAAATATTCATAAACTGTATACTGCACACCGTCTTTCATTCAAACCTCGATATTACTGACACCTGCACAGCACAGCATGACAAATTTTACTTTCATATATAATGTATATACGTTTTTTTAGTTTACAAAATTTGAGCTGTCACATGGGAACAGAAAGGCCCTTATTTTATCACTGTGTGATTTTTCAAAAGTTGTTTTCTTTTTTATCTTTCCTGCTTGTCATATCTACTTCACTCCGTCGTTGAATCCAACAAGATGGCTGTCTACGTTTCTACGAAAAATAGAAATCAAGGGTTGACAAGGACGTTGATTAAAATAATGCCTGATAAATGGGAGAGGGTGATATATGCCAAGCCTGTTATCTAATCCTATTCTTAATAAAATAAAATATAGTTTTAAAAAGGTGTTGATCTCAATGCTGTCCAAATTTATCTCCCCAATTCGTGTCCGTCTAACTAAGTACCGTAAGATATTATTTTTCTAAATATATTTTCCAATGGATGGTTATATATTTAGGTTCTTGTGTTATTTCTTTAGGCTTAGTTAAATTTGAACAACCTTTATAAAAGAGATTTAAACAGCCAAAAATCACCCATTTTGCTATGAATAATGTTTTAATTCGTTGTGTTGAATCTAAAACGAGTGTCGGTGAGAAGATTTCCATTATGGTGAGATAAAGAAAACGCATTGAAATGAAACAGGAATTAAAATACAAATTTCACTCCATTTTTACACTTAAAATCGGAGGACTAAAGATTAGTGAGTGAGAGAGAGAGAGAGAGAGAGAGAGAGACATGTATTTTGATATTGCTTACCCCCGCCGCCTCCCACCCACTCCGTTTAGTACCATCCAAATTTGATCGTTTGTCAAGGTTAAGTAAATTTCTTATTGTGTGCTGGATAGTGTGGCAGGTTGATCTCGGCGTCGTTACATATTATGTGGTGGTATCCCACATTTGCATATCAAAGATAGTGTTGTGCGTGAGATGCTATGTAGAAAGCGTGATGGACAAATCAGATGCGGCAGAGAGCAAATGTAAAATGTAATGAGTGAAATGTAAAACCCCAGCATTTTCCAATAAAACATTTGACGTTTGTACATTGTACTTTGTACATACACCATACCCCACACCCTTTCAACGAAGCAGGACAACAGCCAAGTGTATCTGTCGTAACATCGTAACAGCCAAACGTCATTCGACAAAAGGGAATAAATTTCAAATGTTTGCCAAACTAAATTTCTAGGTGTTTGGTATCTAGGATTATGTTGTGAATCTAAAAACCACATGTTGTCTTCATGCGCTGAGATTATATATGTAGTTGGTGAGATTGTATATCTAATTCATCATTCTGTAATCTATGAAGTATCTAGAACCTTCACTTAAAGTCATTGAATAATATCAAACAATTCGTACCTGCCTTTTTTAAATAGCATAATCCATTGTATGTGACGCCAGCATACTTACGATATCATTATATGTCAATTTTGAGATCAGTGGTAGTCGGGGGGTCAAGGTACTCGACTCGAATCACGGAGTAGGCCGAGTAGGGGGGGGGGGGGTAGAGTGGTCAGGTCGAGAATAACCCAGATATATTTTACAAGCCCGGTTCACTCATAACGAAACATGACAATTATATGGAATACAAGTTATTTCAGCGACGTTTCGACGAGGGTTCTCCCGTCTTTATCAAGCAAATAATGACAACCATAGTGCAATGAAGATATATATATATACAAAATATGGGACAATATGGTTCACTCGTGTCAGTAGAGCTGACAAAGAAGTGTTTTGTGGAACCAAACCCCTATGTCAATCCCAGTAAACATGAAGGTACATGTTGAAGAACCATTGGCAGTTGCAGGTTGATGAAAATTAGAAGAGAACGACACAGTCCGGCAAAATACCCCTTACCAAGAATTGTATGCTAGATTTGACGGGGCGTTAAACTCTGTTTTATCTTATTCGTCTGGCGTTTTACTTTTCAAGAAACTAGAGGGCCCGTCTAAACAAATATCCTGCGGTCGCCAGTGAGAAAACCTATGAATGAGCTGCCCTTGTACACAAATTAAACTCAAAGAAGTTCAAAGGAGAGTCGAATTAAATGTATTATTGATTTCCCTTGTAACGACAATTACGTACGTGTATTGTATGTTGTCATGTATCTGCATACCTCCAGTGGCGGACACGGGATATTTTCTACGGGAGGCCGGCGGGTTCTACTCCAAGAATATGTTAAAAAAATCGGTACGTAAGTGGTGATTTGTGACCCATATCAACCCCACCCCAACACGCCAACCAACACAAAGCTTAATCAATGTACACGTTTTATAGAAAAGAATAATAAGAGCGCTGTCTATACTACGGTCCTACCACTACACATTAATAATCCAACCCTTCATTTTTACGAATCTATTTACATTACAATTATATTTACACATGCATTCTCTGCTATCTATATTGTCAATCATGTCTTAAATAATCTCTCAGGCGTAGTTAGTCTAATCTGGATATAGTCGAAAGGTATGGGATTTAACATAATATTTCTACCAGGTTGAGACTAACGAAATGGAATTGGGTTTAACGTCCTATTTTTCTGCTCCAGTCGAGCTAATAAAAGGTGGCACACGCCATGGAATATGGTGCGAGGATATCTAAACTACACGTCTAGAAGCTGTTTCTTGCTAGTCTCTCGTCATGCACCAAACCTGAAAATCCCGAGAAACTTTCCCGACCAACACCACCTGGTTAGTGAGCCAGCGTCTTACTCACTGGACTACATTAGATTTGTATTTTAGTCTCAAAGGGTCTGTTCGGCCAATGTTCGGAATCGAACATGGATATTTTAAGCCGGGCTTTCAGTTTCCTAAATTTGTATTCTAAAGTATGAACGTACAAAATCAGCTTACCTTGAAATTGTTGATAAAAGAACCTACATAAAACAATACGGTAATTCCACGTGTTCCTTTACATTTGTCGATGTTTTATATGTCGTCTGCTACTGATTATCACTGTCCACTTATCAATCATTGCACGTCCGCACCAATATAACGTATAGATACTAATTATGGTATCACCAGCAAAACGTGTGCTGGTAAATATAGGGGTAGTCTAACACAATACGATATTCAGTAGATGAATATATAGAGTTCTATTAGCGATGATAACTCGGCCAGTGATAGTGTGAATATAATGCGTTATTTACTTGTTTCCCTGTCTAAGGGTGCGGTCCATCAGTTGGACTAGTCTATTCGTTCAATTGCTATTATTAATGGGGTACTGAACATTATTTATTTGTCAGTTTTAATGTATATGCATATTCCAATGGTGAGCTAGATATCAATTTGAAACAAATGCATAACTATAGCATTAAGCATAATTGATTAAGGGGAATGTAGTATGAAGCATAACCGAAAAACTTGCCAAATAATAACATCGAGAAAAACAGGGCTCTTTTAGCTAAATCTGCAGATTTTATAGATACGGGGCCGAAATAAAACGATGTTCTATCCATGCGAATACTTAATATTCAATTATAGACTACATGTCCGTAATAAACCATCCAACTGGATATCATATAACGTTTGGTGTGCCACAGGGCTCAATGCTTGGAGCCATTATATTACCAATATACAACTGAGTCGTAAAGACGTATGAAATGAACAGATTGTCTTGCTTGGAACAAATATATTATTAGTATATATACAAAAAAAAGAATGGCATGCCACAGGGATCTGCACTTGGGCCCATGTAATTCATAATACACACAAAAGACATACACAAACAGTATTACCACACTGAATGTTTTATATAAGTACTGATAGGTCAAATCGATGTTTTATTTCGTCTAGACTTTCCTATCAATGTATCACATTGATAAGCGTAATTTAAGTATATAATTCTCGGAATGCGCCATTTACTATTCTGACTAAATGGTTTCCATGTGATCTATCTGAGCTGTGGGTCGAGGTATGTTTAAACCTCAAATATTGTTTGGGAAGACATCCCTATGATCTTCATCAAACGGAAATCCATTATGCATAAGCTATCATCTGGCAACTGTTATTCTAAGACATATGATTAATAATTACAATCAATTAAAGATGCATTATGTAAGATTTAGATAAAGAGCTGACAGTTTTCGTTATAATAGTTTAAAAATATATAATGAAAAAGGACTATATTGAAAATTTCTGTCAAAATACTTCATTCGAGCGAAGTTATGAACGTTTAAAAGAATAATAAATGAAGTCTCGATTATCCATTTTTAAATTAAATTATTAAACGGTGACCGTGTTTCAATCCGTTCAAAATCACAACCACCATCCGATGCTTTAGTGATTTAGTGAGTTGTTCATTATGTGGACTTGAGACAACAAATCATCTACTTATAAGGTTCGGCTGATATTGAATCGGGGGGGGGGGGGAGTGGCCGAATGGTTAAGACGTGCGAGTTGGATCAGAAGGTCTGTCATTGAGTCAAGTGGCGTGGTTTTGATTCCCTGCTTGTACGTGACAAGGAGTAGGGTCGCCTGTCCAACCTCGTGGGTTTTCTCTCTCTCTCCGATATTAAATCCAAGTTCATTCCATTTCATTCGATTCATAATAAGGCTTTCAATTTGTTCACAGGGGTCGAAGTCTAGATTTCATGCAGATTATATAAGATGTTACTGTTTTTAAATTTTTATGTTCTAAGTGCACATCATGTGTGCTGTTTTAAATGAGATATATAAATATACCATTTGTTTATTGCCAGAGTATAAAGGTTATGTTTATTGGCGGTAAAAGATAAAAAGAAGATGAAAGGGGCCGTCAGGGAGAGTGCAATAGGTATATAGTGTATATGTTAGAACAGCTATTACTTATTGTCGATTTACTTGGCATTAAACACAATAAGACGCTGAAATAACTAAAACAATGCACCAGTGGTTCCCGTTACGATCAGAATGTGTTTTGATTTGTACAAGAATGTCTTTTACTCTCCAAATAAACGTGTAATGAGGATACATAAACCTCGGCTCTTCCTGTGTTCTTCTATCAATAAATATGTGAGTCAATGACCAGGAAAAAATACTGTTAACAATAATATTCAAATAACAAAATTTCCTGATAGTACTTTCAGAGCCGATACGTGTAGAACTCTTTGTGGGGTTTGGGGGACGCGTTGCGGTGGCTGGGGTCAGCGGTTCAAATGATATAATTGCTTTCCTGTAAGTGTTAAGGTCACAATTAACAATAATATTCAAATAACCAAATCTCTTTAATTAGGAGATTTTTTTCCGGTCAGTAATATCCATTTGCGTTGATTTCATAAGAAAGGAAATAAAATATGGATAATGTTGTACGCCATATCTATTTATCGCATGTCTGTTCGGTATGTAAACAGTTTATCAAGTGTAGGCCATGCCGGCATTACGCCCCTTTGTCAAAATTTTAATTATCCATGATATTTTGAATTGTATATGAAATCATTTTACTGTTGGATATGTGTATTTTCATGTGGACGTATATTGTCGTCGCTCCTGTCCGTCCGTTCACATTTTGTAGTTTGTGGACACTCTAGAGGTCACAACCTTTATCAGATTTTGATGAAATTAATTAAAGATTTCCTTTCGATATTGGCCAGTGGCGTGGTGACCCATGATTTTGCATGAGGAACAAGATCCCGTCCTCCCCCCCCCCTTCCCAGTGCCACCGGGTTATGTTGGGCTGTGTGGAACATGCTAGAGTCGATTTGTAGCATATCCGACCCACGGTATATGAAGAGTCCAGGGAAAGAACGATCTAAGTCACATTTTTGTCTTTTCGCATAAAAGGCAAAACAGACTTTTGGACGAGAATGCTTGACGCGAACAGAACAACGAGTGGGTTTAATTACAACTTCAAAATGGTGTTTAATACGAATCATAATTACCAGCACAACAACTGACTTCCACTTTTCAGCCAAATTAAGGTCAAATAAAGGGTACGATGGACGTATTTGTCCGGGAGGCCATTTCAGAAGGGCCTTGATTCGATGTGACTCCGATCGTTTTTACCTGAAATTGAGTGTTCCACAGAAAGCTTATACAATTTCCTATCAGATGGCGCCATTAACTGGGGATCGTTGAAAAGGTGACTTAGATCTTTCCTCCCCGGGGCTCTTCATATGTTTGATACTGGTTAAGCATTATGATTATAATGTTGAAAACCACATTGAAACCGCGCGATTTTTACCATTTGCGAGGGGGCGTAAAAACTCAAGGGGCTCAAAACTCAAAACCATGACGCAAAGCGCGTCCTTGCGTCTCACTTAGCCCCAGATATTGGCGCATATCGGACCATAACTTCTTGGATTTTGACCCCTTGTTGCAATCGCCTTTTTAGCTTGTGGACCGTCTAGAGGTGACAATTTTTATCCAGTTTTGATGAAACTTAAAATGTATGTTTATATCCCAAAGATCTATGTTCCTGATACTGAAGCGTATTGGAAAGTGACTTACTAGATTATGGCCCCTTATCGTACGAAAATCGCTCTTTTAGATTTTTCTCTGCCCATCGCTTGCAAAATGTGGGCGCATCTTGCACGGTAACCGCCTGTTTCAATACCTAGGACACTAAGGACAAAAAATGCCTATAATTTGATGAGTCAAGTGATATAAACTTAAATAATAAACGCACTATACACCGCCAAATAAAACTAACTGCGAACAGATATTATCGTCATATTTTGTGAAGCAATTTTTACGAACATTATCGATGACCGTTGGAAACGATTGAGATCAGTGCTCGGATATTTCTATCTCTAATCATAACCAGGTAGCTCCCATTTTATCTGTGTGTCCGAAACGTCCGTCCACCATCTTAAACACATGTTCCTCGTAGTGTTTGGTTTGATTTATTCAACTATTCCACGGTTGTTCGGTGAGTAAGTCCATGGTTCGGTCCGGGTTTGATCCCAGTATTGTCCGAGAAGGTTTCACGGGATTTTTCAGTGTGGTTTGAGTATACTGTGAGGGGCAGCGGCGTTTACATGCATCACGTAACCCTTTAATCAAATTTACACCCCCATTAGAGATATTGCAAGAATTCATGATTTCAGAAGTTTATATAGTTTATGATAATATGATTTGAGAGAAGTTTATGTAGTTTACGATAATATGATTTTTTCCTCCCGGTTGTTTTAAACGCCCGCGAACGGTCATAACCTTCCATCAACGCAACTTTCAAGTATGTATCTACGCCTTTCATGTCTAGAGGGCTCTAGTCACGTCTTTGATTAGGATATCACTCAAAATAAAAGATAATATTATTGAGAATTTTATTTAGACATATTGTTTTTATGGACAGCTTGCAATAATATGGTAGGTCAACCAACGGGTCAACGTTCTGTAGAATTAAAGTTAAAGATATTCTTAAAGGTATTCTAAAAAGTTGTTCTTTTCGTCTTGGTAAAATAAATGGAGAAGTTTGAAAATACACATTCCAGGAGTGACAATACTATTCTTTTTCTACGCATAGACGATAACATGGTCATCTTATGGCTAAATCTATTTGTTAAAGCCAGCTCAATTTCGTCAAGGTTGCTGAGATGTAATTAAGGTTAGTGCACGTGATTGTTGGCGAGATTGTTGGTTAGGGCTAAGGTAAGCATTGGGCTAGGTTTCAGGGTTAGGTTTGGGATTAGCGTTAGCCCTGTTTACATCTCGTGACCTATGACGAATATTTGAGCTGGCTTTATCTTTTAGAACCAACCTTCATCTTACAGGTGTTACTTCCGGTATCCTCAGCAAAAATCATCTCTGACTTTTGCTTTACCAAGTTCCCGATGCCAAGAGCTTTGTAGGTTTAAACGTCTATGTATACACTACCCTTGTCAAGCGAGGACCTGGATGTCGTCTATTTCTCGGCTATGCTGGGATCAGAATAGACTTGAACCATTTTTGGACTGATTTCAGAGATTCATTTATCCCAAAAACGTGGTTTGCAAAGGGTATTAAAATGAGTGGCTTGAAGAAGGGGGATAATTGGACATCCTAAACAACCGATCAAAATGGTCGTGTTATTTCGATTAGACAGAAAAGAATAATAACTATTGATTAGCCTGGTTTTAAAGTGTGTGAGGTGATATTTGGTGAGGATGTCTGGTCTATGATCCTAAGAGGAACGACTTTGATTCTTCGGCGCCACGCA